TAACTTAACAGGTTAACTGTTTGTCTCTCTATGCGTGCTGCCTGACTTGCTGAGTCTTTTGAGCTTGTCTTTTTCTTAAATTTAATGGTAGAATACAAACAAGGTGATTGTGGCCTTTCCTTGTCTGGCAATTTTCGTTTCTACAAGAGGACAATGAATGTATACAGCTTCTAGCGAACATAAGTGAATTATGTTACAAGCTTCACTGATTATTTAAAATTGGTTGTCAGTGTAGTTATTGGTGCATTCTGGATTGTTGGGAGAGAACTACGCAACTGAGATATCACATTCAACAGTAGATGTTTTGGTTTGGGTTTTGATGTGGGGTTTGGTTAAGTATGATCTGTGCACTGCCTACTACAAATAAGCCAAGGAATGTGAAGTTTGATCTTTGAAAAAATAAATATAATGAATTAATTACACGTTCATTTCTCTGTTAGACCCTGTGTACATTTCTAATAGCTATCAAAACTGTCTGATTTGAAGTGATGAGATGGTAACAACTTGAGATTTCCTTTTAACTTTAACATATGCATTTGTAGTCTTTGTAATAAAGTACTTTTCAGAAGATATTTCAAAGTGCTTTACAGCAAATTCAACACTCTCTGATGTGTAGACACAGTTGTAATGTATAAAAGGTAGCAGCTAATTCACACACGGCATGCGCCCACATACTGCAATGTGATAATAATCAGACATGTTTAGTTTTGAAATGTTGATTGATAGACATGTGTTGGCCAGGCCATTGGTGGTAATTTGCCTGCTTCTCTGAAATAGTTCCACAGATATTTCATTTGAACAGAAGTACCTGTCAGGACCTTGGTTCAAAGTCTTATTTGAAAGCCTGCACATCTGACAGTACAGTATCTCTTGGTACTAAAGTGGAACATTGGCCTTAATTTAGTGCTCAAGTCCTTAAGCAGGATTTGAATCTAGAACATTGCAACTCAAAAAGGATTGCATGCAATTAGCTCCCTTAAAGTAAATAGCCCTAAGGCACTTCATAGGAGAATTTTGAAGCAAGATTTACCATTGGACATAAAATAGATCCAACAGCAGTGGCCAACAGCTTGGTCACAACAATAGGCTTTAAGGGACTGTCTTAATGAGCTAAAGGAGTAAAGACAGAACATAAGAATTGGGGCTATTCAGCCTACACAAAGTCAATAATATCATGACTAACCTGACAGGGCTTTAACTCCACTTTCCTACTTGTCCCCCACAACTCTTGTCAACCAGAATATCTGTCTAGCTCAGCCTTTAATGTATTCAATCAACCAGCCTCCACTGTTCTCTGGAGGACAGAAATCCAAAGACTGATGACTGTCTGAAAGCAAAATTTTCTCCTCATCACCACCTTAAATGGGAAACTTTTATTTTGAAACTGTGGCCTTAGCTCTAAGATTCCCTCATAAAAGAAAAACAACCTTGTAACATCTACTCTGTCAAGCCTCCTCAGATTCTTATGTTTCAAGAAGATCACCTCTCATTTCTTCTAAACTACAATGAGTTTGGGCCCAAACTTTCATCACCAGACAACCCCCTCATCAGAGAGATGTATTAAGTGATCTTTCTGTGAACTGCTTCCAACGCAAGTATGTCCATCCTTAAGCAGAGGGATCAAAACTGCACATCATAGCCCCAGCATTTACAAATTAAGGCTGACTACCACAAGTATGGACCCAACAAGTAGAGAGAGGTAGGGATGAAAACAAAGTGCAAAGTGCCAGAGAAATTCAGCAGCTCTGCCAACATCTGTGAAAAGAGAGACAGAGAATGTTTCAGCCCAACATGACCCTTCTTTGGAACCGAGAGAGGTGAAGGTTTACTTTTGTTGAAAAAAAAAGTACATTTTGAAGCTTTTTGGTTTGCACTCATTGGGACAATTCACAAGAAATACCAAAGGAAATGACATTCAATGTATATGAAAAGTATAATGTACAAGTGCAGTTATTCCCTCTACTTTGTATTTCTTACAATGAGTGTAAGGGAGAAGCTTCAACAAAACACCTATTTGTTCAGCAATATGCAAGTTCTGTACTATCAAACAACTATAGGTAGACATCTAGTGAGAAATCTACAACTCATGTACAAGGCGGCCCAAGTGCACAGAAATGGGCAGATTGCCTGTAAAAGCACCATTCCCTGATCCACAATTCACAAACATACATCAAATTGTTGAACTAGGGCTTCAGGACCCTCGAGCATCCTTGGAGTGATATTATAGCTGCTCCTCCCTGGGCAGTGAAGGAGAAACTGCAAGCTAGGCAGAAACTAAAATCTAGCCACATTTGCGTTATAAATACAAGTAGAGAAGCACGTGGAGTGAACCGATGAGCATCAGGGCTAGAGTTCATGCAACATGTTCATTCCTCGTTATCCATGGGGGATAGAAGGATAGGGCTTCCCGCTGGTAATAAACAATGTGGATACCTCTCCTACATACTGCAAAGAACAACGCAATATTTACGGAGGCACACTGGACAAGACAATGGGAATAAAAATGACGGGCCAACCACGTAGATCCACTGGGAGCAAACTGTTCAGATGAATAGGAAGGCAAATTATCTGGTGAGAAACTTCAGAGTGCTTCAGTTTGGAGGAATGTGGGAGTCCTCATGCATGAGCTACAGAAAATTATATGCAAGTACAGCAGGTAATAAGGAAGGCAAATGAAATTTTGGCATTTATTGATAACGGAATAATGTATAAAAGTGGAGAAGTGTTGCTGCACCTGTCCAAAGCATCAGTGAGATCACACCTGAAGTATTTTGTACAGTTCTGGACCCCTTCAAGAAGGCTGTAGTTGCATTGGAGGGAGTTTGGAGGAGATTCACCAGATTGATTATAGAGGTGAGGAGTTTGTTTTATGAAGAGAGATTGAGCAGTTTAGGCCATACTTCCTAAAGTGTTTAGAAGAATGAGAGGAGATCTAATTCAGGAATAAAGATGCGAAAGGGAATTAACAAAGTAGATTTAGAAGGGATATTCACACTTGTGGGAGAATCTAGAATGAGGTGATAGTTTATGACAAGGGGGTGACAGATTTAAAACCGAGATAAGAAAAAATTGCTTCTCTCAAAGGGTTGTGATTCTGTGGAATTCAACACCACAGAATGAAGCGGATACCAGAGAGTAAATTTGAGGACAAGGCAGACAGATTTTTAATGAGTAATGGGTTGAAGGGATATAGAATACAAGCAGGAGAGTGAATTTGAGGCAGAAATAAGAATGAGATAAGGTCGTATTGGATGGCCAAGCAGACTGAAGGAACTGAATTGCCTATTCTGTTCCTCATGTCCTTAGAGGATAAGAACTGAGCACAGTATTCCAATAACACAAGATCACACGACCATAAGAAACAGAAAAAGTAGGCCATTTGACCTTTTGAGCCTGATCTGCCACTTAACAGGCTTGTGACTCATTCAAAACTCATTGGAATTGGGCAGGAATATGGCAATGTGTAGTAGGCTATGAACCAAGTGCAAGAAAATGGGAATTGCACAGTTTAATGCTTGCCGGTCAGCAGAGACATGGTGGGCTGAACAGCCTGTTTCTATGCTGTATGACTCCACACAGACACTACGACCATCAGGTAAATGTAAGGATGCCTAATCATGTCATGTTGAGTCTTAATGTGTAATAAAGTAGTAATACAAAGAAGCTTCTGAAATAAATAGGGAGAGGGGGAGGCGGATAGAGGAGAGGAAACAAACAGGTCGAAGAGGCGGGGATGGAGCCAGTAAAGGTGAGTGTAGGTGGGGAGTTAGGGAAGTGATAGGTCAAGGGGGCAGGAAGTTAGTAGGTAGGAGATGGGGGTGCGGCTTGAGGTGGGAGGAAGAACAGGTTAGGGAGGCGGGGACGAGCTGGACTGGTTTTGGGATGCGGTAGGGGGAGGGGAGATTTTGAAGCTTGTGAAATCCACATTGATACCATTGGGCTGCAGGGTTCCCAAGCGGAATAGGAGTTGCTGTTCCTGCAACCTTCGGGTAGCATCGTTGTGGCACTACCTACTAACCTCATCCCGCCCCCTTGACCTGTCCGTTCTCCCTGGACTGACCTATCCCCTCCCTAACTCCCCACCTACACTCACCTTTACTGCCTCCATCCCCGCCTCTTTGACCTGTTTGTTTCCTCTCCACCTATCCTCTCCTCTATCCATCTTCTATCCGCCTCCCACTCTCTCCCTATTTATTTCAGAACCCCATTCCTCTCCCCCATTTCTGATGAAGGGTCCAGGCCCGAAACGTCAGCCTTTCTGCTCCTATGATGCTGCTTGGCCTGCTGTGTTCATCCAGCCCTGCACCTTGTTGTCTCCTTCCTCTGTGCCTGTCTACGCAGCTAGATCATCCCTCGTGGGCTCCAAATAGCTTTCAGATCTTCACGGTCGTGGCGAAGGGGTTCAGCCCGAAACGTTGACTTCCCTGCTCCTCGGATGCTGTCTGGCCGGTTGTGCTTTCCCAGCCTCACACCTATAAACTCCTGGGTATAGACAGAATTACTGGCCACACCAGACACCAGAGATAGACCCATTCATAAAGCAGCAGGACCGGATGTCCCACCCAACACTCCCCTGATTGGCAGGCGGTGCACGGCCACCTGGCAGGCTATTGGCCGAGGGGCATGTCAATAATCGTCACTTCCTGATTAATCCCCACCCCTACGCCTTCCAAATCCACATTAAAACAACCAACAATTGCCGCCGCAAGCGCAAAAAAAAATTTTCTCCCACAAAAGACAGAAGCTTCAGAACGTGTTTTAAACGTCCGCTCCTCCAGATTTACCCACTCTCCCCGACCGCGAGCCGAAGTCTACCTTCTAGAATATTCTGAGGCGAGTTCGACGAGATTGCAGGCCTGGCGTTTAATTTTCACAAGAAAAACACAAAAGCTGCTAATGCCAGTCTCAGTCCTGCCCGCGCCACCCCTCCCAAAAGAAAATGAATGTGTTTGTTTATTGTCAATGTGGTGTGTGTTTTATTTGTTGCCGCTCGCACTCACTCAGTCGCGACTCCAGACTCTCCTCCTCTGGCGGCGCCGCCATCTTGCATCCAACTTCAACTTCCCTCCTCCACCCGACAGGTGGCGCTGGCTCTTAAAGGGCCCGGCACCCACAACTGTTGCTGTTAAAGGGCCCGGCAC